GAATGAGTAAACAAATAATCTAGACAAAAAAAATAGAATGCAAGTGAAAGAACACAGGTTGCAGAAAGTAATTACTAAATTTACTACTGAAACATTATCCTAAATATCTTAATTCCTTAGAGCTTATTTCTAAAATTATCAGGTAATTGGTTTAATGATAAAATCAAGTGAAATTTACTTAATCTAATATGTTTTTGAACAGGAGAGCATATGATAAATGGATTGCATATTTCCAGCCTAAAACTAATATTCTTAAAACTACATTGTTTAAGGTAATTGAATACTATTTATAACTAAATTTATTATAGTACGGTGAATTAGTACGGCAAAGAAGAGGTATAGACATACCATCATTCAAATGAAACACATAGTACGGGACTAAACGTAAGTTTATGCATGAAAATATGTTTAAAAAACAGCATTACACACAGAAGCAAATGATTTAGTTCTTGGTTTAACTGCTAGATAACTGTTAAAATGGAGCATATTCTTTTTAGGATAATAATAATCTTCCGGACAGTAAATCAACCCCAGTACCGGTCGATTTATTCCCGGGATTATTATTGCAGAATTTTCCGAAAAGTTGGCAATTTTCCAACAAAACCCATGCACTTTTTCAGTGGTCTTATTGCACCCATCGGATGCATAAGAATGATTTGGAATTAAGATTTTATGAAATTATTCAATGATAACAGTGCGGAGGGGCCGGCAAAATCGGGTCATTAATGTACCATATACTAATCTGACGAATACAGAAAAAAAAAATGGTTGAATATTACACCCAAACCCAAGTTTATTGGCCATTCTGCTTGTTGTGTAATATTACGCTGTACGATGACCACAGAATTTGTGAACAAATCATTTTAATGAGTGTAAAGTGTAATATGGTATCCACTTTTAGTAAATGGTGTTCAATACATCATCAATAATATTGATTGATACATATTGTTTGCATTGTACACATTAAAGTGATGAACGATGGTAGAAAGGGCACTCATTAGTGATGCATTAATACATTTCAAAACTTGTTTCCAGCAAATGAAAAATTACACTAAACAATCAAAACAAGTCCCTAAAAAAGATTGAGCTTCTGTGAATTGCTCCTACGGCTCCATATTTCTGCAAAAGTCAATCAATTCTATTGGCGAATCAAAACAAAGCCAAAACTGGTTGTGCGACACCTAGTTTTAAGATCCGCAATTACAAAAATTGGTGCAATGCAATTTGACAGGTATTAAAACGTCATTACTATTTTCACCGACTCGCCATCTGTGAGTTAATCGTCACTTTGATTCTTCTATAGATCTACGGAAAATTTCGTAGAAGCGACTAAAGCCCTCTAGTTAAAGCATGGACGACTGGGACGACTGTCACCACAAAAATGAAAAAACAAGTTGTTCCAATCGAGCAAAGCGGTGCATTTTGACGGTTCGATTGAAACAACTTTTGACAGACGTCCATACTTTTACCACAGACAAACAGACGTAACTCTTTGATAAACTTGTTCTTGAAAATATAGTATCTCAAAACATATAACCTCAGTAGCGACATCTATCTGGCTTCTCGCGGAAAACAAGCTTGTTCGATAACTCGTAAACAATATTGCATAAAAGTTCTATAGAATGTATAGAAACGTCAAAGTGATCAGATGCCAGCGCTGCAGCGAGTAGTTCGCGGAACTGATAATATTCAAATCAACCGTTAAATGCATGAACGAAGATACACAATGAAGAGTTACGTCTGTTTGTCTGTGCTTTTACTGTGGGGCTTTAGACGCGACATCACTGACTTCCATTTGTTTTTTTTTTATTTAACGCAGCTGACGCTTTGACAGATCGAGAGAAAAGCAACTAGTGAAAAAATTGCATGGACAAGGGATGCTCCGGTTGCAAAACAAAGCTTGGGAATGTGCATGACAGAGGATGCTAGTGTGCATACAAAATATCAGGCATAACATTTGATAACGGCACAAAAGCATTTGTAAACAAACTTTCTAAGACCCTTTACACGCGAACCAAAGTACAAAGTGCCTGATATGCTTACCGATATTTTTTGAAGAATTTTCTTCTAAGATTTATGTCTGTTTGTCTGTGCTCAAACGTCATTCTGTGTCTCGTTCTGTGTATGGAGTGGAGTAAAGCTAAATGGAACATTGTGAAACGGAACGCAGAGCAAAACAAAACACCGAATAATGCTACCAGAAACGTGCTTTTCTGATGCTGATTAGAAGTGCAAATTGAAAATGATATATACGTTGATATAAGCGTCGTTCAATTTAGCGGAGGCACACGGTATAATACATACAATTTGAGATATAACTTGCATACAAGCATCGGTTGCAAGATCCCATTAGAAAAATAATATGGATTGATATGCACGTCCAATTAGAACAACCCAAACTTGAGTTTAGTTTATTCATAAATCGCATAAAGCGCAGGAACTCAGCGATGAGTAAATTTGTCTCATGTTTTTCCAGGTTTGTCCAGGAAAATAAATCTCGAATATGAGAAAAGTAAAGATTGGATTCACTCAGTCTATTGGTGCTACTCCTAGACTGAGTAAATTTTCCACAGAAAGCATGAGGCAAATTAACTCATCGCTAAGTTCCTGCACTTTTGGCGATTATGAGTGAACTTAACTCAAATTCGGGTGTTCTCATTCGCCGTGTGGTATTCTAAACTTGTATATACGCTAAGTTTAAAGCAATCCATTGATTAGTAACATTTCACCCACTTTGAAGAAAAGTGGCAGACTCATTAATGGGTAAAATTGTAACCCATTTAATGATAAACTGTGACCCACCTATTTATTTCTCGTCAATCATGTTCGTAGCCCGAAGACATTATATCAATATGTTGTTGATGTGTTGTCTTCGCTTAAACACTAGTTCACTCAAATATTAGTGCAAGGCACTGAAGAAGTCTGCACATTATAGACGAAATACGCGTATCTGTCAAGGATAAGCAAATAAGGTAGTGAAATTAAATGGAAATTACTAATCCTTCTCTCTTTCTTTATACAGGTATTCCACTAGGACGCCCACATTCATCAGGAATAATGTTTAGCTTATTTCTTATGTTATGATAATTAGCAGATTGATAATCAAGGATTTCTTCAAATTCTCAGTCAACGGGCATTTCATAATCATTGATATTTATCCTTCCTACACACTTAAAATCAAAATCTGTACTCGGAGAAGTATGTTATAGTACGTTCAGACTACAGAGTTATAACATGTTATATCGCTATCTTGATGGTGGTTTTTGTGTTGCAATTAGTTGACAACCGTTATAACATGTTATAACTCTCCAGTCTGGACAGCGTTTTACACGGTAACCACAAAATACAAATACAAAGTAAGCATTTTCGAGGAAAACTGGTACTACCCATTAAATGAGTAAAATTTTACCCATTTATGAATATTTAGAACTACAAAAATAATTAGTAAGTATTCATTTGTGAGTACCAAATACCCATAACTGGTTATTTTTTTTACTCGTTTAATGGGTAGTCCCAGTCTCCCTCGAAAATGCTTAAAAAAGCGTGTTAAATTGACTGTTATACAAAGAAGAAGAAAAACTCTAAGAAAGTCATTTGTAGGCCGGAAAATAGATCTCAAATGATTTCCAGATTGTTCGTAAACGTAAACGTAACCTCAAAGCGAGTAAGATTCACCTGTCACTGGCACCACTGGATGAGCTGTAAGGTGCCGAATTTTCGATACGTAACCAACGAAAGACCGTCAGGGACCCCAATTTCGGACAGTTCTAGAAATAACGCAAACAACTTGCTTCAATTCAATTTAATTTGGAACGCTTTTTTATTCAGTCGAAACCCGCCGACAACGCGTCAACGTTTTCCGCCTTTCCTGGTGGTTTTTGTGCACTGAAATCTTGTTCATAGAAAAGAACGAACGAACGAATAATATACGGTATATTTACAGTCATACTATAAGAGTTTTGTTGTTCATATAAGTTAAAATCTGAGTTTTCTACATACCGTAAATTTACACTAACGAATAAAATAATTAATTTATACGCAATCCGCTTTCTCTCTCTCTCTTTCTCTCTCTCTCTTTCTCTCTCTCTCTTTATCGCTCTCGTTTTCGTTAAGGGGTCTTATTCTCTCGCACTTACAAACTAATAAGGGTATCAAGCTATTTTTGCACTTATTTTTGTTGTTTCTAATTTAAAAAAGAATAAAATGACATTTTTAACACAATCTTTTCCTCGTTTAAATATATATTAATCTATGATGCTTTTTACATTTGTATTTAAAATTCAGTCAGAAAATTGTATCGGCTTTTTTTTTATTTTTATTTTTATCAATTTGAATTATTATTTTTTTTTCTCTGGTGGTAGTTCTAAAACAAACTGCACGAAACGATCGATTTCTCTCAAGTCACACGGAATATATAGAGTTTGAAGGAAATGCAACACGCGAAACAAAATTTAGCCTACTTTGACCTGTCAACACTGCGCAGAAAAAAAAACTGAGTTGAATTTGTCTTGGACAAAACGAATCTTCCGCGGTTGAGTGTCTTTTGCAAAGAAAACGTACCGTTTCGAATTTGAGTGTGAGTGAAATTTGATCGCGCCGCGCGTCAAAGTAGGCTTCGGTCGTGTTTCGTAACACACACACACACACACGCACTTGCACACGAACACACGATATGATTAGTGTAGGAAACCCCACATAACCTAGGTTTAATTTGCACCTTTTTCACCTTAGGTTAAAAGTCGATAGAATTTTTGAACGAACGAAAAACTGTGTGGAAAATAATATAATGTGGATAAAGTCCTAGAGGGTATATTCGATAGTTCATTGGGCTTGCGTTGTCTTGATACTCGATATTTTTTTCTATTCAAATGTACACTTTCTCTCTCTCTCGTATGTCAAAAATGAGTTTGATCAACGGGGTTTTGTTTTTCGAAATATTTTGTGATAGTTTATATTTTAAATTTTTTTCTACAATTGACCGTGTTCGAGTCTAAATTATTTGTTTTTGTTTTACAAGGAAGAGCCTTCGTCGTGACTTCTCCTTTAAGTCAAATTTTGCTTGTTTTGTTTTAAATTTTGTATAATTGTTGACTAATTTGGCCTAGTAGCCGTTTCTCCCCCTTCGGTTTTCCAAAGTTTGCGTTTCTATCAGTGTATGGCCCCGTCTCACTCTCTCGCTCTCTGCCATTCGTTTGACTCGTTATAAAATAAAAAGTATCGTAAAATCTCGAACCAAAGAAAAAAAAAAGAAGCTAAATCACAGATAAAATATGTGGATAACAAACAAAAAAGAAACCTGCGTAAACTATTGAACACGTAAAAAAGTGAGGGGAAAAATCAACTTTTCACTAAATTTTGTCCGCCGGAAATTTACGTCTCATTACTACTGCTACGTCCGTGTGTATTGCCGAAAAGAAGTTGAAAACGAAACTAAAAACTCCATACAAAAGAAACTGAAAAGTACTGAAAACGAAACGGACAAGTCCTAACCTCTTCTTTCGAGAGTCTTTTTGTGCAATAAAATATAAAATACGTTAAAAAATAAAAAAAAAACAGCAAAAACGTCAACTTCTTGTTCTTCCCATTGAACAAACGAGGGGGTGGGGGGTTTGGGGTGTGGCTGGGATTCAGTCTTCTCTCACAGTACTAACCTCGAGCGGGACTTGACAAGTCGTGTTCCGCCACAACCGGCACTACCCGTTCCGGAACCGGAACTTGGTCCGGGACCGGCCACGGCCGAACCCTTGACCACATCGCCACCGTTCCAACTGCGGCTCTTGGCCCGGAAGTGGCGATAGGCGTCGCTATATTTCGGATCCAGCATCTGCCGGTACGCAATCGGATCGCACAGGTCCGGATGCAGGGCGAAAAAGTCCTTGTAGCCACCGTGCAGCAGGTAGATCTCCGGATAGTGTAGCGCCGGGTAGCTGTCCGAGTTGAGGATACGGTCGTGATTGCGCAGGAAGCGGGATCTGGAAGAAAGAGAGAAGAGTCGGGTGAGTCACGGTGAAATTGTTTAAGGGTGAAATGTTTCAACACTTACAGCTTGGGTCCCCGCTCGGAGGAGAATTCGCAGTGGAACACGATCACGCTGCGCTTGGGTCCATTGAAGTCCACTTTGGGGGATTCAGTCTTGCTGTTGATCAGTTCTTCCAGGATCTGCTCCTGGGTGTAGAGGTTCTTGGCACCGCGGATGTGGCCACCTTCGAACTCGTACGGATACCGGCAGTCGATGATTTTGAACGAAGCGATCTGATGGTCGTAGGTGCCCCGTAGCATTTCGGCCATGATGTTTGGAGTGATGGATTTCAGGTCCCGATGCCGACCATCGGTCAGCGGCAGGACGTACGATTTGCTGAAGTCTCCAATGAGGTCCGGCTCCGTGGAGGACCTCGAGAGGGCGCTCATGATGTGGGCATCGTTCATGGAGATGGACTTCTGGAGAATGGGTCGTTTCACTGTTGGTACGGTTAGAGAGGAGGGGCTGTCCAGGGAGGAAGGTTCTACGGTCCGTAACGAGCTGACCGGAGTGAGGACTTCGATTTTGTGCCGTTTGCTCTGAATCGGGCTGATTCCCGGGGGTTCCGGGCGCTTGAAGCAGCGGGTCGCATCGGGTCGGGAGGAGAACGATGTTATACAAAGGTTCTCTTTGTCCGGGGTGACGACCTGTAGGCGTTCCGGAGTTTTGGCAGGTGACTGACAGCTGCTAGCGACGGGTGAACTGAAGATGAGGTTGGACTTGGCTCGGCGTGTCACCGGGTTTTCCGAGAGACTTAGACAGCGCCGGAAGAAGGGCCGTTTGTTCTCCGGAGTGGTCTTGGTAGCTTTGATGTCACCGCATATCAGCGAGTTCAGATTACTGGGCAGCTGGGTGTCGTCGTCCAGGGTTTCCATCTCGAACAGGTCCATGTCGATGTCGTCCATGGATTCCATCGAGCCCGAGGACAGGCTGTGGAAGATCCGCATCGACGAGGCAGCTGGCGAAACGGCGGTCTGGCGGGGGGCGGACGGTTGGATGAAGCGGAACAGCGATTGACTCTTGTGGCCTTCGCTGGATACGCTTGCTCCGTAGCCGGAGTCCATGGAGTTGGGGTCGTAGTCTTCCAGGGGTCTTCGGTTCTTCCGGTTGGCGCTTCCCGTTCCTCCCAGCAGGGCCGGGTTGATGATGGTCTGCTTGTTGGGGGTGACCTCCGAGGGGAGCAGCTCGCCGCCCATCTCCTCGGGGCAATCGCACGGACTGCATGGCCGAGGGCTGGCCTGCGGACTGTTGCCATGGTAGAACGAGAGTTCGTCCTCGGTCGGGAGGTTCTCCTTGCCGGGCGATCCCAGGTACTTGTTTTCTATGCGCAGCGGTGCGATGTGCAGACGGCGCTGGGCGCTGCGTTGTCGCTGTTCCATCAGGCGGCTAGCCGGTGACCTGCCGGCTGAGTTCAGCGAGAAGGTGGTCGAAATGCGACTGCAAGAGAGAAAGAAAGGGCAATAGATTAGATACTGTTCGAGCGAGCGCCATTATTGGTGGCGAACGAGTTTCGTCGTGGCGCGGCGACGATCAAGGATAACCGGAAAAGAGGTCTCGTCGCGCGTAGCCTTATTATCATATTTTTTGCGCGGACCCCTATCCATATGCGAAAGGAGACCCCCTTTTTGTCGTCCTCCTCATGGGAACAGAGCGTGTAGCGTAATTATCATCATAAACATATTCCCCGTGCATGAACGTCGTAGGAACACAGAGACGACAGACGGACTGACGAAGGGAACTTGCACACGAAACAGGAGGGATCTCCTGCAAATACACAGAACGGGAGACCTTCTTCTGTGGAGGCTATCAGGGGCGCTGGGCGCCGAGGAGGAGGAGGTGGCGGCGAAGAGTTTCATTTCCCTCCATCCACTCACACATCTGGTTCTTTCTTGCAAGTCTCGTCGATGTCTCTCTAGTAGGCGCTGCCTGCCTGCACTACACGAGAGTTCATGGCTTGCTACGCAATGCAACAAGAACAACAACAATAACAACAACAATGAACGTGTGAATGCACAACGCAAAGAGGGCATTGAATGTTTCGTTCCTACGAACAGGAGGAGGAAGAGGAGGACTAAAAATAGACCTCTCTGGAGAACCCCTGCCCGGGGTAGAAAATCGAACGAAAACGAGGGAAAACCAAGCTGTTTTCGATCGATCCGATCCGAACTGAACCGAGACACCAAATTATGACAGCTCGAATCACGCGAATTTCACGCGACGACGATGATGACGACAAAATCGCAACCCTTACCTATCCCAACTTTTCTCGCTCGCGCCGTCCTCTGACGAGACTCTCATTAGCGAAAGGTGCGTGGGGGCCGCCGCCAAAATTGGACAGAAAGCTCGTAAATGCTCCGTTAGCCGGCCGGCCGACCGGCCGGCTGCCAAATGTAAACAAACCAGAAAGCAGCAAAAAAACCTAGCGCCAGACCCAGACGGATGGACGGACGGACGGACGGAGGAACCCCGCGAAATCACTTCCCCACATGAATGAAAGTGAAGTTTTTCGCCACTCATGGTTTGGCACACTCGTGTGCGAAATTTTGCGCTCTCCGCTTCGCGGCTTCGGGAAAGAATATTGGCGAAGCCGAGCCAAATGACCGCGAGCGAGCGCGCTTTTCCGCTAATTTAAATTGCACATAGCCGAATGGGAACGAATGGGTAGTGGATTTAAAGTTTTTGGTCTATTTCCTCTGGATTTTCGCGTATAAAGAGTTAGCCGAGTGCGGCCTTCGGAAGGTGATTTTTTGGCGCACACGCCGAGCTGGGGTCATTATAGAGATCTAAGAGCGCGAGTTTGGTGTGGTTTGGTTTGGAGAACCGCTCTTTTTTCACTCGCTAATTGATGGCGGTGGGGAGGTATGGGAATAATTGCGGCAATTAGCACCTTCTCTTCGGGATGTTTCGCCGGAATGGCTTTTTGTATGTTAGATGAAAGTGATCAGGATGGAAGATGGGACCGTGGGGAATCGTTTGCGCTTTACCTAAGTAGTACTTAAGGTAGAAGGTGATGAGTATTTTATGGAATTGCGAAAATTGAGGACACGTACAATATTTACAGGGGCAATTTTAAAATTAGTATGAACCGTAGATAATCGCCAACCCGTGCCCTTAAACTGTCAACGTAGTTTATGAACAGCCCCTTATTTGTGGCACGCAATATCCAGTTTATTATAAAAGGCCATTTTTTTCTAAAGGAAATTAAATTCCAACTAGCATAGGTGTGCCAGTTTTTGACCCTAGTGGTTCCCTAATTTGCCTTATCTTCAAATGTTATTCATTCTTCACTAAATTTAATTCTATGCAAGGCTAGAACATAGATTTTGCCATTCATCTACTAAAATAAAATTTATTTCAAATTTGAGCTAATTACTAGGTTAAAAAACTGGAGCACTAGTGCCATAACTGGCACACTTTACCTAATCAAATTTCCAAAAATAAAAATAAAACTGGAAAAAGAGAAATATTACCATGTTTTCCACAACAAAATCGCTGTCAGTTTCACTTTATATGTCAGATGAAGCCGATACAGATGAACGAGGAGACTCTGTTGAATTCATTGCGCACTTCCTAAGTAGTACTTAAGATGCAAGATGACGCGAATTTGTCCCATTAAAAATCTATACCATGTGCTTTGATCTTTTACATTGAGTTTGTTTTAAGGAACTCTCTACAACTCGATATTGAAGAACCATCGAGTTATAGAAATATCGAGTTATATTGTCCAGCATATTCAAGGGACGATCGACTTGAGGAGGAATACTGAATACTGAACAAAAAATCACAATTTCTGAAACTTCACCCGTGAACTTCTTATGAAATTGGAAATAATATTTAGTGTTAATGTTAATCACTCGTTAATTTGTAAAGGTAGTTTTAAAATTTCATGACTAAAAAAATCAAAATTTTGGTCCTAAAATTCATTTACTAGATCACAGTCAAGTTAAATTTTGAATCACAATGAATAATGGCTGTTATGGCTTTATCTAAAATTATAGGGTAAAAATATATTAAATCGACTTTTATGGAGGTCAAAATACACGCGGAAATGAATCAAAACACATCGCATTAGGAAAATTGAACCGACTTTGAAAATTATCGAGATACAGAGAATATCGAGTAACTAAGGTAGAGTTGAATCCCATGGAAAATCACTATCGCAGTAGCCATGAAATTCACTTTTACTATGATTCTATAACTCGATACCGAGTATAGCGGACATTCGAGTTTCGACAAAAAAAAAATCCGATGATTTTTCAAACATTGAGAATAACAATACCACACATATCACGATTTCTAGCTCGAAAACAGACTAAATTTCACCAACTTTCCACATCAAATTCGCGTCCCGTTTCACTTTATATGTCCGATAAACCCCATCAGGATGAAACATACGACCCCGCTGAACCATCTCCGCACTACCTAAGCCCAACTTAAGTCGCGTTTTTCCGGACCAAAGATCCAACGGAGGAAAGTTCACTGTCCCCCAGTCGAATCTAATTCGAGTGATTTTTAATCAACTTCCTGCCTTCGACCGAAACGACGAGGGGGAACCAACACTCGTACTCGAACATGCGGTGCGTCGTTCGAAGTCGACCTACTATAAAGGCCTTAAGAAAAGTCAAAGGAGGAAGTGTTTATTTCTTCTCTCATGACTGCACAAATGAAGTTTTTCTGCCGAACAGAGCAAGCAGCCGGGCTGGGGTACAAATTTCAGCTGCCGCAGCGCATTCTCCCTCACTCGTTTGCGATAAGCAGCAGCGTTGACGATGATGAAGGGCGCAAGTCCCGTTCGGTGAGAATTTCCCGCAATGGGGAATAGTTGTATAAATTTATTAAAGGACTTATCGCGCGATTCCAATCCTCCCAATCAATCGCCGGTTTCCAATTAGGGATTATCTAGTTGCCGCGCGGGTGGAAAACACCTTTGCCTCTCGATTGGCTTACCTTGTACACTCGGAGAGATCGAAATCGATATTTTCCAACATCATTTTTTTTTTAAACTGAAAGTGTTCTTGAACTTAAATCCACACAATTTGGTCCGCTTTCGCCAAGGAAGATTCTTCTCCCGTTTGGTGCGGGGTGGGGGGGGGTTCACACAACTCGATCGCACTCGCACTCGATCACTGTTCCAATCCTGTCACTTGGAAACCATTTTCGTTTCACTGGCAGCGTTCACTAGGATCGTCTCGGGCTTCCTGGTCTTATCTCAACACATCTTCCTCATTGTCTCCTGTATATCGCGTAACAACACACAACAAGTGCCTGCTTATCGATACACTGATTTGTTAATTATTGTTCATACAGCCGATCCTCATATCTTCCGAAACCGACCTGAAAGTCTCAATTTCCCAAAGTCTTTCAGTAGCTCTTATGCTTCCATTCAGGTTTGGGGTCCTGGTCTTGGTTCTTGTAAGCCTGTAGCTGCTTCCGCTCGCGGTGAAGCGCTGAACTCAACTAACTTTCAGTTCTATCACCTCCGATCAACTGGCGCATAGTCCGCCAGAGTCCATGCGCTGTCTGTAAGCCTTCCCTTCTAGTCAAGCGACGACGACGACGACATACACAAGCAGCAACATAACACATCGCATAGTGGGTTCTCGTTCCTTTTCCCACTCGTTCGTCCTTTCTTATCGTGTTCTCGCATTCGCTCTCTCTGTGGTGTGCGCGCACTCAGCGCATACTTGATCTACCCTCTTTACACTGCACAGTGAGCCTCTACCACTACCACACACACATACACATACACACACTCATCCAAGCAAACCAGTTATGCTCGCTGCCGTTCTCTCTCCTTCGCATCACGTTCTTATGTTGAGTCGCCTTCTCCTCCTCTTTCACCACCCGCCCGTCGTCCGGTCCGAGTTCTCCTGACGAGGCGAGGTCCATTCTTGGGAGGCTCTTGGCCCGATCGGACCGAGATTCCTGTTGGAGGCTTCCTCCTCTTCCTCCTCATCCCAGCGCGCACCGACCCAAACCAGTATTGATGCTGGTAATTAAGACTAATCTTCCAACTCGGTTTTCTGTTCTGCTGCTGCTACTACGTACTCTTCTTGTCGTCTTCAGCTGCTGCTGCTTCTTCCCTCGGAACAAGTGTTGTGTGGTGACCCTTTCCCTACTGCTTGCAAACGTCGTCGCCTAATCTAACCGAAAGAAATCCCGGGATGTGGTTTATGAGTCAAAATTTCACTGATCGATCGTCGTCTCCCGTCGGCCGCAGCAATCGGATGCGTAAATTGGACCTAATCAAAACAAATTCCCTCCCCATTTCGGTTCGCTGCATGGCTGTGTTGATAACAACGGTTCCCGAAGTCAACACATTTCGACCCGGTTGTGAATGGATTTGATTGAACGTCGGACGAGCATCGCGGCGGAAGTTCTTCGCCTTCAGTCTTCTTCGACATTTCTCCCCACACTCCCCATCAAACACGGTCCCACACAATCATCATCCTCCATCGTAGATGGCCCTGGAAAAGGTTTCCAGCTTTTTCAGTGGTGTGGGACACGACGAAGCCACGATAGATCTGTAAACATTGCGTGTGCTTCACTATACAAAAAAAAAAACTATCTGTTTGTGTAATTTTTGTTTAGATTAAAAAACCACCCCGATACCTACTTGCTTCGCTTGGCGTCTCCGTCTCCGACGTCTTGGGCGGCTCCTATTCCGGGAATCTCTAGCTTATGGTTTTATCTCTGATGCTAGGGAGTAGCCTACTGGAAGAACTACAACAACAACCGGGGCCAGCAAAGAATCATCCGTTTACTGAGATTAGAATAAATTTTGTGACAACGACGCGACGCGACCGGCGGAGTGATTCAACAACAAAGGAATGCACTGTTTTTCTAGTCCCGCACTGTGAATTGGGAACGGAGAAGTCGTTAACAGCAGGAGCAGCAGTGCGCGTCAATTACGGCGGGACTTCAATTATTGAAATCTGGCGGCCAAATAAAAAAAAAGAGCTCCAATGATAAGAACGGAATCGGGTTCTGTTTACCTAATTCCACGTTAATGCTTCTAATACTGCTGTACTATGAATTAGGACTGTCATTCGTTTCAAAACAAAACCCGAAACCGAGAGCGCTCCTGGGTTTTGTTTTGGGCGAAATCAATTGGTCTATTGCTTTATTGTTTCAAACAAAGCAATCGAGCGGTTCTGAAGGTCTTAGCAAAATTGCAATACAGTCAACTCTCACTAAGTCGACTTCAAAGGGATTGCATGGATTTGCATGGATAATTCTATGGAAGTAATTTCATTGCACAGTCAACTCTACACAACTCGATATTCTATCATTCGATATTTTATATAACTCGAGTTCCTTAATTTTCCCATGTATCGTACTCTCCGTAAGTCGATATTTCTACAAGCCGGTGCCTCCTTTGAACGATGATCTATGTAGTGTTTGGTTCTAAAACTCGATATGACAAAGGTAGAGCTTCTGAATTCTGTGATGTTAAAATCAAAGGAACTTCAAAAACATCAGAACAAGTGCAATCTGCTTTCAAGGTAGTTCTGAGGACTGACAAAATTCATAGGACAAGAAGTTTTGGTCAGTTTGTTTTGACTTATTGTTAGTAGGGTAGAGAACTATTTCAGCCTAATCGCATATTTTGGGCCTATCGAGCAGAAAACTTCAAATAAATCCATGATTTCAGAGTTAACAAGTCAATTATGCGTTTGGTACGATACTTTAGTTAATAAGCTACCGAACGAAGTCAATGAGAACGCGTGATATGAAGGTTTGCACCCATCATTCCCAAAAACAGAAGAAGCGCTCCGACCGAATCATGTTTTATCTTCATCCGATAGGCCGAAGTGAATTCATTGCCGTTTCAAGGATGTTTCAATGCGTTAGGCCGAGTTTGGCGTCAAGAAGCAGTGTTAGAGTTTTGACAATATCTCAACGATTGGTTTCTCTTTATCAAATCTTACGGTACGTACGGAAAGGTAAATAAATTTGAAAGCCATCAGTAATAATAACATTCCATTTGGTGTTAAACTGCGCTAGATTAAGAGAGACTAAGTGCGGGTTGTGCTTACTAGGACGGAAATGGGGTAGTTAACCCTACTTTGTATTTGCGTATTTTTTTTCACAGAAAATGATTTAAAATGTATCAAACATTGGTTTCTAAGTATTAATTACCTAAAAACACGTACTAAGAAAAAGTTAAAAAATTACGATTTATAAAAATTTAAAAATTTCCGAAATTTTAAACATTCCAAAAGTTTGAATTTTTATGAGCTTATTCTAAAAAAAAATATCGAAAACCGGACAAGGACATTTTGATATGAAGAAGGAGAAGAAGAAGAATTCGACTGTAAAACTATATTACATAGTTTTATGATGTTGCCACGAAAATAACCATGGTCACCGGATACCGGAGGTATTCCAGGTTTCCAGGGGGTATGGCTAAACTTGCTAAATGTGTGATAAGTTTTTTATGTTGCTGGTTGGAGATCCATAGTTTTGGTAAATTCACAGAAAGATGAACCATTTCCACAGCCAAGATCTAAAATCGGCCTAGAATCAACCGAGATATGGCCATTTCCCTGGAATCGGTTCTGATGGAGAATTTTCGAATGTGGTCAGATCTTTCATTCACTCAAAACATGCTATGCGACAGCTCATTTTCCTGCTTTTTTATCAATAGGCTTTGTAAAGACTTCAAATGGATCATTGACTACTTTGACCGCTCTCGGAACCACCGGGATGCTCCTGGAGGAAACCTGTAATAGAAGCCAATTGCAGCTGTACACCAAAACAAGCCATGCGGCAGCTCTTTCTTCATGGTTTTTCATGAACAGACTTTCTATATACTTGAAGTGGATCATTGACCACGTTGGTAGCTCTCGGAACCACCGGGATGTCCCCGGGGGAACCTCTAGTAGGGGACAATTGCATTTTTACACAGAAATATGCGCGACAGCTCTTTATTCATGGTTTTTCGTGAATAGGCTTCCATCATTGGACCACATTGGCCGCTCTCGGAACCACCGGATGCCCTCGGAGAAACCTGAAGCAGGGGACTATTGCATTTTTACACAAAAACAATCGGCTTTCGATATACTTTAAATGGATCATTTACCACATTGGCCGTTCTCGAAACCATCGGGATGTCCCCGGGGGAACCTCTACTAGGGAACAGTTGCATTTTTCATAGGAATTTCTAAAGTTAATTCCTTAAAGAATTCTGAAGAGAACTCGAAGGAAATTCAAAGAAGAATTCTGAAGATGTTTTCAAGCAGTTTCAGCGAAAAATAGAAGCCGGAGCAGGAATTTTCTGGGAATACGGCGGGTTTATGCTAAAAGAAGGGTTACAATTAAATCTTAGAATAATTCCAGGAGAACTTCAAATGAACTCGGAAAAGAATTGCTGGAGAGTTCGGACTTGAATTGCAATTAATTTTTAATTGAGAAATCTAAGGAATTTGTTGATTCACTGCATGCAAATTCAAAGTGAGCAAAATTCCAAGGGAAAGAGTAAAATTAAAAGGGCATTCTGAAATGAATTCAATGAAAATTCTGACAATAGATCCAAAGTTCTTTTCCTCAGTCATTTTATGGTAATTCCGAGGATGATTCCAACGGAATTTCAAGGGAATTCCAAGCATATTCTAGAGAAATGTTGACGTAGGAACATGTAACAAAATAATGAAAGATTTTGAACGCTAATAACTCAGCTACCCTGGGACCAAATTTCAATAAGTTTATCACCAATCGATCAGATATATTTCTACCCATCTGCTAAATTTGCAAGTTTATCATTTTTGAAAATACCACTACTGAAAATTGCACGAATGATTATTAAAATTATCACTGATTGCCGGCGAAAAGCAATTTTCCTAACACAGATTTCAAAGTTTTATCCGGTCTCACCAAACGGTGTTTATTCAATCACCGCGTGGTGAGTGGTGGTGGTGTTCTCAACCGCTGATCGGATTCAGTTCGAATCACCGTGTGGACGTCGGCATCAGCTGCAACAGTGCTTTCGGCACGTGGCGTTGAACATTATTCTCCAGTACACAACGAACGGCTGCCTGCAAGCAGCGAGCTGCAGCCCGCATGAGCATCCATAGAAGGAGGAGGAAGCCGCACCGCTATAGATCGGAATCAGTAGCTCTTCGTGAGTTGCTGTCGGCCATCTATGTCAAGTGCGTCACCCTCATTCCAAACAACATACAGCTTACCATGTCTAGGATATGTTTAAATCTAACACACCATGGGGGTGTGATTTCAAAAACCGAAGTCGGTCGCGGCATGAAAGTGGTTTGATGATGGAGATGATGGATTTTAATTATTAATACGCCAATCGATAGGATTTTTTCTACCAATCTGTTAAAAGTAAGACTTTATCATTTTTCAAAATATCACTATTGAAGATTGCGCGGATGTGCAACTTTTGCTATGATAATTAAAATTAGCACCGATTGCCTGCGAAAAGCGATTTCCCTAACACAGATATCAAAGTTGGTCTCACCCTACGGTGTATATTC